AAATAGTGCCAGTATTAGAGTAGTTGGAGGTAGAGAAAACCACTTTGTAAGAACTCTTTTATCTTTCTATTTAGTAATAAAATTTTAAAGAAAGCAGACCTGTACATTAAACCTTTTATTGCATTTTCATGAAAAAGAAATAAATGGCTCAAAAGAAGGTGACATCAGCAATTTTTTCAAGAAAGTTGGCACCTAGTCAGATTGGTCACACAATTGTTTAATTAGTTGTATTTATGTATCATATCTAACTGGTATTTTTAATGATCATTAATGTCAAGAGATGTTTATTGAGCATCTATACATGTAAGATCTATACTAGGTGTTGGGGATACAAAAATAAGTGAGATACGGATCTCTTCTCATGTATGGATTAGAGTACTGTTGGTGGGGAGATAGAACACAGCCATGTAAGGATCAACAGCATTACAGAAGAATGTGGAAACATGTTTCTCCATGAGGTGCTGCAGGGGCTCCACAAATATTTGATGCACATTTCTTTTAAACATATTTTAATCATTAAAATCCGAAATAACATGTTATATTTAATATCCGAAATAACACGTTATATAAATATGTTCTATGCACCAAATAGAACATGCACAGAAGGAAGACCACTAAAGCTAATTAATTTATTTTGCAGATTAGCTCATTTCTTTTTCTTTTTTAAGTTCCAAATAAAGTAGCAAATCCTTTATATTTCTTGAACATTGTGAAAAAGAGCCCTAGCAACATTTTTTCAGTCATCATTTTCCCTCTTTTACCTCTGTCCTCACATAATAGTTTTGCTCCCAAGCTGCAGTTCTCAAAACCTCTCTCATCAGTGTCTTATTTCCTTCTTATTGTTTATCACATAATCTCAAAAACTGATTTGTTTAAAAAAAAAAAATCTACCTCAGAAAGCCTGGGAGGGGAAGAGTCATTGAACACGCTGCAGAATGCTCCCCAGACTATGGGGCTGGAGGAGAAATCCGGGGAATTCACACTGAGTAATTTACATCCCTTCTTGCTTGTTAACCCTCTGTAGGTGGCATGGTGCTAGAGCTCTCTGATGTGTCTTCAAATGATAATTTCCTAGATGAGTTTTTCCGCAAATTCAGGAAACATTACATGAACATTATATTTTTAAGGACAGAAAGGAAATGTGGTTTCTCACATGAGTAATCATTCAACAGAAGGGATTTTATCATGCAATATTTTACAAGAATAAACCTGAACCGTCTTGTTTTGCCATAAGAACATGTGATGGTAGTCTTTCATCTTTTATGACATTTGGCATCAAAATTTATGTGCCATGATTCGTAAGTAGACAGATGCAGAAGGATAGGTATGTATACCTAGTCTAAAAATGAAAATATTTGGTAATTTTGGAGGAAAGAAAACGGTGGTCCTCTCTTCAAAAAACTATGAGCCATCAAGGTTTTTGAAGTAAAATGTTTTGATAATGCCAGTGCAAGAAGAAGTGGAAATGAAGATAAGCCAAAATCTACTAGAGGTGTGTTTGAAATCATGAAATCAGTATTTCAAGGTAGATATGTTCCTAAGATTAGGCCTAATAGCTGATGAGGAGTTGGTCAAAAAAACTTTGTCTATTTCAGGTCTATATACTTTCAAAACCAAATTATTACAGAATAAAAGTTTGGGTTAAGTATGTTTTAAATGCTTAGTAAAAATTTTAATGTTGGTTGAATTTTATTACTTATTACTTACTAAATTATTCATAAAATGACAAAGTATTTTTTAAAAGGCCCCGTGGTGATGGCTTTTTTTCTTGGTGTACTGACAGTTTAAACATGAACTAAATGTTCTTTCCACCTTGTCTATAATAAGTTCTCATTCTTTTTTCTGTATTACAGTACACTGTTTTTTTCTTCTTAGTGCTTTGACAAAACTTACTTTTTTAGTTTACTTTTGCGTTTTTTTTTCCCTCTCATTTGCTAAGTAAATTCTGTGAGGGCACAGACTATGTTTGTCTTACCATGGTGAATCTCCAGCATCTTACCTATACCTGACTCGTGTAAGTGTGCAATAAATTTGTTAAACAAATAAGGTCACTGCTTATAAAATCTACCTTGGTTAGATTTTTGGGTTTTTGTTAGCAGTGTATTAAAAGACTCATAACAAGTTTAGGTTTAGTTCAGTTATTTTTACTCATTGAGATTTATTGTATTGCTTCACTTTACCATATATTTTAGTGTTATGAAGATGAGTATTTTCTTCTGAGCTATGAGTAATGCTGCCTCTTTTAGAAAAGAACCAGTAAATATTTTATATCTTGTTTGTTTTTCTTGTCCAACTCGACAAAGCTAAATTGTGATGAGGCTGACCAAGCTTGAGACATTTTTCTTAAAATATTGAGGATATAGAATTTTTGTTGTGGGGTGGTGGGGATAGAAGGCAGACATGTAGTTAGAAATGGCATATACCAAAAGTCAACATGTACCAACAGTTTTCTACCCACATGGGAAGTTAAGCAGCTCCTAAAAATATTTTGTTCTGATGAATAGTGTGATAACCATTACGTTATTGTTGAAATTTCACTTTGTTCTTACGTTACAGTAAATAAACAGACCTGCAAAATTTTACACAGTCTATTTGAGCTGTTTATGAAGGACACATACAGACGTATGAAGATCCCCCAATTTTTGAATACAATATTTCACAAGTAACAGCTTAGTCATGACATATGTAAATAGGAAGGGGACAATAGAATGCATTTGGGATATGGTCATTCACTAACTAGATGACCTTTTGTCCTCCATATTACAGAACCTTTGACATTACAGTTGTATTGTCAAAACCACGAATGAGAAATCACTGAGCATAAAAGGCATATCTTAAAAATGACACCCTGCCCCTTACTGAGTTAATAATCTCCCACCTTCAAAATTTCCTACTATCCAGATTTTTCTCATTAAGGAGAAGAGGGATCATAGTTTAAATCTTAAGATCCCTAGAGATATGAGGGCTTTCTTTTCAGTAGGGCCTGGTACCGAGTCACTTTATGATATGTTAAAAAGGTAAGCTGTGTTTCCCCTACCTTCAGTGAAGCATCTTTAAAGCGCATTCAGCCTCTAGAGAGCAGCAGAGAACTTCATTTCAGTAATTAGTCTTTCTCACTCTCTCCAAACATACATACACACATATACACACTCTTGTGTATTTATATTTTGTGCCTTTTTTCCCCAGAGTTGAATCGGATCAAATAATCATAGAGCAGTGGAGCACAATCATAATCTTTAAGTGAAAATCAACCATCATTAAAATGAGAATAAAGGAATGGAACATTACACATTTAGGAAAGTCTAGGATAAAAAGATATCACTTACTCAACGTACCACTACTCAAGAACAGAAATAAATAATATTTTTCTTAAGGTAAAAGAGAACCACTACAGATTTGTTGGTGACCGAAAAATAACAAAATCAGTAACTACACTAGGTACACTAATAATACATGGTTGCTTATTAGACTTATATTTACTCTTGCTCAAAGGACAGCTTTGCTTATATTTTATAAAATCTATAAATCCAACATAATATTAACACCAAGTTTATCAGTTACTTTTATTTAGAGTAAACCTGTTCTTGGCTTTCCTGTAACCGCCTTAGCCCATTTGAGCTGCTATAACAAAAATACCATAAGTGGGGTGGCTTATGAACAACAGCCATATATTTCTGACAGTTATGGAGGCTGCAAGTCTGGATCATGGCACCAGCAGATTAGCTGTCTGTTAAGGACCCATTTCCACACTGACAGATATTTTCTCACATAGCAAAGGGTCAGGGATCTCTGGAGCACTACTCATGAGGGCCATACCCACATGACCTAATCACCTCTCAAAGGCCCCACCTCCTAATACTATCCTTGGAGGGGTAGGATTTCAACAAATGAGTTTTGCAGGGAACACAAACATCCAGTTCACAGCACTGTCCTTCTGAATTCTCCCATTTCTTTCAGTTTTATTCCCATTTGGGGGAGAGTTCTTTATCCCTCTTATTTAGGTACACATCTCATTATATTATCCTTCTGAAATGTCCTCACATTCAGTGCTTCAATGCCATTCTCCTGACTAGAATAGACCCTTACTACTATTACTTCATTTCCAGTTTGATGTGGTAGTCTTCTAGCATGTCTTCTAGCCTTTCTTCAGAGTCCAGCCTCTCACCTGACCAGTTTAACTAATTGTTCTTTCTGTGTTTATTTTGACTTGGATGGTATGCGTTTATTGAATAGTTTGTTCTTACCACTGAGAGAGTAACACTTAGAAGAATTTTAGATTCATAACTCATTTAAAAATAAATTATATATTTTACTCAGCCTCATGGTTTTATGAAGCAAAACACGCTTTACTAATATTTTCAGATTGATAGGCCATATAAAAAGGGAAAATGATTCTAGGAAGATTCTGGAGAGGTAATGTTTGCTAAATACGAAAAAGACTTGGTAACAGTTGTAAGAGACCTGAAGTTGGGGAATTAGGATTATCCCTTTCTCACATAAAAGCAGGAGTGGGATGTTGAGGAACAGTGTCACATAGTAGATGGGTACCCACTTGGAGACAAGTGCTGAAGGGGTGAAGGAGTGATTGATCATGTTACGAAAATATTCTGTACCTAACCACAGCACAAAGGGTTATATTCCTGAAAATCTTGATGAGAGAACCCATGATTGAGATATAGTCAGATCTTACAGGTAAAACAGCATTAGGTCATTAATGAATACAGGTCATTAATGGATACCAAAGTGGAGGTCATTAATGAATACAGAAAAACCTTGAAAAATATGCAGTTTTACTTGAAGGCAGCACTAATAAAGATAATATAAATCAATTACATATCTTAAGTTAGTAATAATGGCTACTCAATAACTTATGTCAATTTGCTAGAAACATCAGGAATTCTACTCTAGGTTCAAAGGCATGTTAATTTATTTTAATGTTTGTAATTTTATTTTAATTCAATTTAATCATTAACATTTTTGTTAATTTGCATTAATTTTAGGATGGAGGGAGTGACACAGTACAAAATGTAATAAAGGAAGTTGTCAAACCTTCATTTGTTATGGAAGGAAGACATTCAGAGATCCCTATTACCTTGGGAGACCAAATGATGACTACACCTCAATTGCATTTTATATCTTGGAGTGACTCTCAATTTTAGGTGACTCACTGTTCACTAGGCACTAGTTTAAACAACTCTTCTCAATCCTGCCACACCTTTGAACTTTCTTTTCTCTTTCCATTTTCCAACATAATTGAAAGATAAATTCTTGCTACTTGTGTTCTTCTGTGTAGTGAGTGGTTGATCCTGGCCAGTGAGTAACCTTAGAGACATTGCTCTTAAAAAACATCTTTCTTCCTTGTTAAACCTGGTTTTATTATGCAGCAGCAAATACTAAGTAGCTAGGATTTTTTCAGTACTATGCTAAGTGCTAGTTATACAGTGGTGCATAAACCTGATACCATCCCTTTCCTTGTGGAGTTTTATATCGTAGAAGAGGAAACAGACAAAAAAATTAAAATTGCAACTTCTCCATTACTCCCTGTGTTCCTTTTTTTTTTTTTTCCCATAGCACTTATCAACATTTAAGAGCCTGTATTCATTTTTTGTTTGATTCCACCCACATAATGTTGGCTCCATGGGGGCAAGGATTTCTGTTTTTCTAGAGGAACATTTGTTGGTTAAGAAGTGAGAAAGGGGGCGCCTGGGTGGCTCAGTCGTTAAGCGTCTGCCTTTGGCTCAGGTCATGATTCCGGGGTCCCAGGATCGAGTCCCACATCAGGCTCCCTGCTCGACAGGAAGCCTGCTTCTCCCTCTCCCTCTGCCTGCCTGCTTGTGTTCCCGCTCTCGCTGTGTCTCTCTCTGTCAAATAAATAAAATCTTTTAAAAAAAAAAAAAAAAAGTGAGAAAGGCGTATATAATTAGTTACCTTGTCCCTTTGATTCTACTTCTTCAGCCTGTCCTAAATAACTCCCTTGCTGCTTCCTTAGTTCAAGCCCTTTTTATTTCTGCCTAATCTATTAAAGTAGCTTTCCTAACAGTTTCTCTGCCACTGTAGTACCTTTCCCCTTCAGACTGCTGCCAGTAATCTTTGTAAAATTCAATTCTGAATTTCTTCTGTGATCTCCCATCTTTTAAGGGTAAGTCAGATTCCTTAGCTTTTCATTATTGGATTCCTTCCCATCAGTTTAGCCTTGCTTTTTATTTCCTTGCCCCTCCCCACTCTCCATCTCAAACTTTATATGGCAGTAGTACCAGTATTTGCACTTCACGCTTCTTTGTGAAGTTCGGGCTAGATCAGAGGCATCAGCTAACTCAGAAATGAGTTAGAAATGCAAATTATTAGGTTCCACCTCAGGGCCTACTGAATTGGAGACCCTGGGAATATCGCTAATTAAGCTATAAACAGGTCTTCCAGGTGGGTCCTGATGTACCTTAAGTTCAGGAACCATTGCTTTAATCCTTTAAAAAAAATTCTTTCCTTACCAAGGCCAGCCATTAATGACTGTGTTTTCAATATCACTTTCATTTGTGTAACTCTTAATCTACATCATTAACCCTGATATCTATATCAACCCTACTTCTTAAATTGGGTTAAACATATTTCTTGGATATCTGTTCTGTACTTCAGACTCTGTAGGCTCTAACCAAAATGCATTATTCATCTACTAAAACCTGTTTTACATACCATGTTTCCTATTTACTCCTTCAAAAGATTCCTCCGTATAGTTTTGAATGGCAGATAGTGCAGTATTTCTCATTGGTTTCTATTTTTTTGTCTTGTTCTAGAGGAACAACAACAACAAAAAGATTCTTTAATAATTCTACTGACCAGAATAGGGTCAGGATTTTCCGAACAATAGAATTACTATGTTTTGTAGACCTTCTGTCAAAATATATGTTTATCTTACTCTCCCTTAGTTTTTCACTCCTCCCCCTTCTCCTCCTCAGTCTTCTCTCAGTTTAAGAACTTAGAGATTGTCTCCTTTCAGTCTTGACCTCAGTTGCCCAGATTCTGCCGTAAAGCTGGAGGGATCCTTGACCGTGGCTCAGTAGAGCCACAACTTGTCCTGGCACCAAAGGGTGAAGCCAAGCAGCATTTCAGATATCTCGGTGCGATTTCTGCAGTAGATTCTCAATATTTTTTAAATGAGTGAGTGAGTAAGTAGGCAACTCTCAAAGGACTAGGCAGATTGTCAAGATCAAAAAAGCATGGTGAGATTGTGACTAGCGATATAAGGAACCTTAAGGATTTTAGCAATAAAGAGTGATAAATTTTGACACTCAAATATTTATTAAACGAATAAATGAAAGATTTTAGAGGAAAGAACAAATAGCCATTGTCACAGATGGTTAGATACTTCCTTCTGTGAGGGAGAAGGGTAAATTTAAACATTATTTCAGTATAAATTTTCAGGTTTAATTCTTCGGTCTCATGTTTATATGTGTGCTTCCCTGTGAGCATTCAGTTTGATATACTTTTTTAATAATTTTCACCTTGATTCATGTAATGGTTATATTCTAATGGTTGACCATATATTTTGGGCTATAACTTCTACTGTTATTATAGTTCTGTTTTTGTTGGATAGGAAAGACAACAATTTGTGTGTGTATGTGTGTGTGCATATGTGTAAAATCTGTTAAATTGCACATTAAATTATCTCACATGAGGAATTTTTATACTTGAAAATCATGTCATATACCTATTCTTATAATTTGAGCTATTCTCATAAGGAATATATATTCTTAAGTTATAATAAAAAAACCTTTCTTTTTAACATGCATACAGGAAACCTCGACCTGTGTCCCAGTTGGTTGCCCAGCAGGTTACTCAGCAGTTTGTGCCCCCTACACAGTCAAAGAAAGAGAAAAAAGATAAAGTAGAAAAAGAAAAAAGTGAAAAGGAAACAACTAGCAAAAAGAACAGTCATAAGAAAACCAGGTAAATTTGTTTTTTTTTGTTTTGTTTTTTAAAAATTTTTTATTGTTATGTTAATCGCCATACATTACATCATTAGTTTTAGATGTAGTGTTCCATGATTCATTGTTTGTGCATAACACCCAGTGCTCCATGAAGAATGTGCCCTCCCTAATACCCATCACCAGGCTAACCCATCCTCCCACCCAGAAAACCAGGTAAATTTGAAGAGTATTTTATGGCACTTATTAAATAATAAAATGAACCATTTAATATTCTCTTTTAACATTGATATATTCATATAGAAAGTGGAAATAAAAGATTCCATCTTTATTATAAAATATCATGAAAGTGTTTTTCTGAGTTAGAGAGGTATATTAGAAATTAAATACAGAGGCCACCAATATAAGCTTAAATGTAAGGATGCTTTCTTTTCTTTCTCTTCCTTCCTTCCTCCCTTCCTCCCTTCCTTTCTTCCCTTCCCTTCTTTCCTTTCTCCCTTCCCTTCCTTCCCTACTAGACTCAAAGACATTTGTGTTTGAGCTGATTCTTTTTCGGTCATAAAGCCAGGAGTGATAGTCACAATACTGAACACATATTTGCATGGGCTTTAACCAGTTAAAATCTTCATGGGTACAGGCAGAACAGATAGTCATGATGCTCATTTCTGGAGTAACAGCCTTTCATATAACTCAACCTTAATGGTTATCAACTTATTCTGTGATCCAACTATGTCATTGCTTTTCTAAAACATTTATTTTAGTAAAATTGGTAAGCTATCTGCAAAATTATGATAAAGCTATAAAAGCACAATTAAGAGACCATTGCTTCCAGAGTATCAGTTTGTCATGTTGAAGAAGATTAATCAATGATTGGTTCGATTAATGTTAATGATTTGAAACATTTAATTATATTTTTGTGGCTAGTTCATATATGAATCTAGAACTTTAAATATAGATGTATTCATTTTGTTATTTTTACCTAATTTATTCATTATATGTTCAGAAAGTTCGTAGAGAGGAAAGCTAGTTTAAAATTTTATCATCTTTTCTATTTAGGCCAAGATTGAAAAATGTGGATCGGAGTAGTGCTCAGCATTTGGAAGTTACCGTTGGAGATCTGACAGTCATTATTACAGACTTTAAGGAGAAAACAAAGTCACCGCCTGCATCTAGTGCTGCTTCTGCAGATCAACACAGTCAGAGTGGCTCTAGCTCTGATAACACAGAGAGGGGAATGTCCAGATCATCTTCACCCAGAGGAGAAGCCTCATCATTGAATGGAGAATCTCATTAAAATTTATTTTCTCCAATTTCTTAGTCACTTCTGTCATAACATGCAAATACACAGATTATGCCAAGAAGTACCACATTTTCATGACAGACATTCATGCACAATCCATAATTTGCGTTTTACACAAAATAGAAATTTGTTAGAATTTGTTAGACTTTATTGCAATCTATGCCTACCAAACATTTTCAGACTTGACATTTTGGTCTCCACAGTTCAAGGTGCCATGAAAATGTGGTTGAATTATTCATTATGCAGTGTTATTGGTAAGTCTATTTTCACTTTTAGTTTAGTGAATTCTAACACATAATTCTTGAATTCTCTACTATTGGCATGTAACGAATTTAAATTTTTATAACATAGTGCAAGCTGCCTAAATATGTATTATTTGAGAATTGTGAAACAAATAGTTATATGTATACAAGTCAAAGATCAATTTAATCAACTATTGCTGCAACAGGATTTTCTTAATGGTTATCCTCTTAAATACACCTGCTGGTACTTGGTGTGGTTAAATAGGAAAAATTGTTATTAAATAAAGAATTTGTATGAACCGTTGCCAATGTTTTTGACACATTTTACTAAATTATTGTTCCTGAATTATGTTTCTGGTTTTATCTTTGTTTTTGTTTTTGTTTATCTTTTAAAACATTCATTATTGTAATGTTTACTAGCAGAGTAGTAAACAATAAAACATTGATTATTTAGCTTTATAATTCAGGTTTAGTGCTCTTGTCATTGAACACTGGTATTTTCTGTATAATATAAAACTTTGAAGTTCAAATAATTATAAGCATTTGGCAAAAACAGAAAAGAAACCTGACATATTTTAAAGGCTGCAATTTTGGAAAAGCTTTAACTTAATAATAGTTTATCACTGTTGTCTTGCCCCAAACTTGTGCAGGGTCATAGAAATATGAATCTAATTAATACAGAAATGGGAACTGTTGCACAGAACTGGGAAATAACTAATCTCAAATCAGTTTAATTGGCTTCTTATTAAATATAATGATTCTTATGAAAATCATAGTGCCCTATTTTCAGACACAACTGCCAGTTTATGCATTTATCAATATCCTGAAATAAAAGAAAGTATTTACAGCCCCACTTATTATGTAAAATTACCAATAAAATATTTTTATGACTACAGATTTTGCATTTTTGTTCACAACTAATAATGTGTTTCATATTGTATTTAAAAATCCAACCTAGAAACCACACATAAGTACTTCTTAAATTTTTCTAGGGTCTCCTGCTGCTTTTAGTCATTTGCTTAATATATATCCACCTCTAGGAGACTTCTGAAATATAAATTAAAAACATAACTTGGATGCAAAATATCACTTAAAAACACTATGATAGCATTTGAAAAACAGAAAAAAACAAAACAAAACTGTACACCCTGACAGTTGTGATATTTGGTGGTTTCTCGTGGTAATGTAATTTTCTGTTTAATTGCAGTACTTTTTCCAGGCACAATGGGACTGTCTTTTTTGTAAGATGCTAGTTGTGAAATACAGTTAATTGCATACAGTAAAAGTCTGTGATTAAAACATTTATATACCTCATTCTTTAGTGTTGTTAAATGAAAAATTAAAGTTTGTTTTTATTATAAGATACTTTCAGTGGAACCCCAGCTAACTGGTTATGTTCTTTTAAAACATGAAAAAATTTTGCCATATTTCATTGTTTTTCACATGTTTCAGATGTTTTAAATTTTAGACATAGTAAAAATTCAAGTAATAATTGTAATAGGGAAAATCTTCTAATTTTTAAGTCAAAACTATGTTTTGGAGGCACTAGGTCTTTGGATGATGATCAAATTCTTTCAGGATGTATTTTAAATGGACTGTGGGAGAGAAAAATCTGAGAGAGATGGGATTTTACCTGAATGGAGCATAGTCATCTTGTTATATGGGGGGGAGATAGTATAGAGTGGAAATTTAGAGTGCTAACTGGTGTGTTTTGAATCCCTGTTATAGAACCTAAGTGAACTTGAGTAAATTACTCAGGGTCACGTCCCATCTATTAAACAGGGATAATGGTAATCAAATCTAACTGATCGGGTTGTTGGGAGGATTAAATGTCAATCCACATAAAATTCTTAACAATTACACGGCACACACTGGCTGCTCAGTAAATGAGCCTTTACTATCTTTATAGGTAAAATCCCATTACGAAAATATTCTTTGTAACAAAAATCGTTTCCACACCCTCTCGGATGACCAAAACAAATTGTGTTCTGTAGGATACACTGAATTTTCTACATCAGATGTTTGCTCTGATCCCAGACCAGCCAGCTTTCTGTAATTAAAGAACCTAATGGTATGCACTATGAGACAGGACAAATGAACTGAGTCGGCTGGTTTGAAATTTTGTTTTCCTGTCATTAATCACAATTCACTTGCTTTCATTTCACCCTACCTCAAATACACTTCCAAACCAGGAAACAGACCCAAATTGCATAAATACACCTAATGTTAAAATCTGCAAAAAGATTCAGAGCCTGGGCTTAGGGTACATTTGTAGTTCTGTTTCATCAGTTCACACTGTGGTTTTAGCAGTGGGTTCTTTTAACCAAATTTCATACAAAAAGAGAATTTGAATGTTTTTCAGAGTTTATTACCTTATTTTGATACAATTAAGAGCAAAGATATAATTTGAGGCATACCAGAATACATATTCTTAAAACCTTTTGTATTATACAGTAGAAATAGTTGACTTAAAGGTTTTATTTTTGTTAAATGCTTTCCTAAAATTATAGTGATAGTAGACAAAGTGAAAACATTAAAAAAGGAAGAGAATCTCAGCTTTTCTAAGTTGATAGCATATTACCTTTCTTTTAAACAAAAATCCTTATTGCCTAAAAAGAATGTAGTTTCTGCATGTTTATGCATTAATGCTAAATGGTCTAGAAGTTTTAGTTTCCACTGAGGCTCTTATTTTACTTATTTTCTTGATCTGCACATTACCTCTTCTGGAACTGGACCATCGATAGGAATTTCTATACTACGAACATTAAGTAAAAACAGAAAAGGGAGTATATAAGGAAAAGGATAAGCATAAAATAATATTTTGACTTATGGGCACTGCCCACCCCCCCGCCCTTCAACCACAGGCACCTTCAGTTTTGTGGAAGATGAACATAGAAAAATTGAAGTGCAGAAAAGTCGGTGATCAGAATCAAGAGACACTGAAGGTTACCGAATACAGGATTTGACTGATCATTTTGTGAAAGCAGAAGGAAAAGAATGCCCTCACTGGCTAATGAGGGTGATAGAAAATAAGCCCCAATAATATCAAAGGCAAGGAAGGCTAGGAATGGGGGAAAAAATGAGGGGTGGGGTAGGAGAAAAAACAAAGATAGCAGAAATTAGAAAATGGGGCATTGGAACACAATCTGGATGATCGTAGAGAAGAATCACTAGAAAGGCAGAGAACAAATTGTAGTATGTCTGTCTCTCAGAAGGTTTAAAAATCGTGCTGTGATACATCCTCTCCTAATGACTCTGTCGTCAAAGTTTTGGCTGTGTTTACTAGGGCAGCAATATGTATAATAACTTTAGAACAATTTTCTTCAAAACCAGTTCATTTTAAGAAGCTGTCATAGAGAAGTTTTACCTTGAATTATACGAACACTACTTTCCTGAATGCAGATCCCTGCTCTCCTAGATAATTTAAGTGTTTTTAATGTGGCTTTTGTATTTAGCCAGTGTAGATATTCCTGTCTTTATGGAATGGGCCAGTTCTGGAGTATATGAAATGCCATAATAAGACTAGGTACTTCTATGGAAAAATCAAGTAGAACTCTTGAGAAGTTTCAGTGCTCTGGGACATGTTTCATGTTCTGAATCATTGTGTGTGTGTCTGTTTTCTGTGTGTTTTCTTCAGTAGGAGTTGTAGACAGTAGTAGCTATTTTACTATTGTTACACTTTCAGTATTTTCCTGATCTAGATTGTCTTTATATCAGTACTCAATTCAGTGAACATTTATTGAGTATATTTTGTGTGCTTGACACTGAGCTAGGGATTGGAGCTCACATGTTACTAGGAGAGACCTGTAAATAAGTAATTACAATGCCATCTCACTGCAACAATAAAAACGTGTAAGATAACAGAAGTAGCAGAGGGAGTGTGTGTCAAACCCCCACCCCCTTTTTTTCTAGGAAACTCAGCTTGGACTAAGTATCCCCTGCAAGTCCACACTGAAAATGTTAGGATCTCATCTTGATAGTTGCAGCTGATAATGTTCGGTGTCAGTAGTAGTTTTACTAGCTCTCATTTCATTACTGCTGCTTGAATTTTCAAAGTTTAAGACTTTAAGCCACGTGAGATTTTTTTCTATACTAATTTTTAAAAATCAATAATCAGCTGAATGAGGTCTGCTATTCCTTTTTGTGAAGATAATGAAGAAACATTACCCAGAATCCATTAAGAAATTTTATTCAGACCTATTTCAGGAAAAGCTTTAATTCACATGAGAAAATTTGCCTTTTTCTTACAGACGATGCAGATAATATATTGATTGCCCTCTGTTTCTGAGAGAAATCTCAGATTAAAATTAGGCTTACTTTTGGGGCGCCTGGGTGGCTCAGTCGTTAAGCGTCTGCCTTCGGCTCAGGTCATGATCCCAGGGTCCTAGGACTGAGTCCCACATCGTGCTCCCTGCTCGGCGGGAAGCCAGCTTCTCCCTCTCTCTCTGCCCCCGCTTTTGTTCCCTCTCTTGCTGTGTCTCTCTCTGTCAAATAAATAAAATCTTAAAAAAAAAATAAAACTAAAAAAATAAAATTAGGCTTACTTTTAATAATTATGTAGGACTTAATCGCCTGCCATGTCTATATTCTTGATCTATATTTTTTCTAGATTCTGATCTTAATGTTTTTCCTTGTGTTCTTACAAAGTTCCTCAAATCTCTTCTGTAAGACTAAACAGTAATACTATTTAGTAATACTATTTTAGTATTATAAAGTATAGTATTATAAAATATTATAAAACTTTTGTAATACTAACTTTTTTAAAAAGTTAGAAAATTTCTTCATTGCAATGTGTGAGGCTAAGCCCCAGTGAGAACTTTTTGGGACAAGGTTCTAGTGAAATGGGTGCCTCCCTAACTGGAATTCCTAAGTGGCAGGTCTTGAGCTTATGTCTAGGTTTAGATCTGCTGGCCTACCTGGAAGTAGGGAGTTTGGATGAAAGCTACCACTCATTTTCGTATTTCCATTAACTCTTCCAGCAAGAGAATTCAGAAACTAAGCTGGGTACCAAGACTAATTAATTTAGAGTTTTTCATGTGTATTATTTTCACTATCCTCTTAATTTATAGTAATAGCAACAACGAAATGAGCCTGTGTTTACTTTTAGAGTCAGCAAAATTGAGGTTGGGATACTGGTAAAACCAGTTTGGGAGAAGACTCCTAAGGGACAAAATGGCAGTGAAATCATTTTTAAAAAAGGAAAGTTGGCTGAGTTCTCAAAAGAGCAAAATGATCTTGGCCCAAGAGGTAGTTTTTTAATAAAAGAAGATAAGAAAGCCTATTTTCCAGTACAGGATAAGATAAATAAAGAACAGTTTAACTCAGAGGAAAAAATCTTTTTTTTTTTACTTTATTAAAAATATTGAAAAGTAAAAAGAAACCAAACATAACATAGGGTTGTCTAGTGATGTAATTTTTTTATAGAAAAGAATATGGGTAACAATAAGAATTCTGATTTTATTTTTGAACTGAGAACTGGATTTCTGAAGTGTGGTGGTATCAGAATTCTTAATTATTTTCAGCCTTCAGCCTTTGGGGACCTGGGTCAGGCAAAAGATCTGTTACTTAATCTTGTAATCATGACCTCGATTGATGGCAGGTTTTAGAGAACTTGTGTATGTGTGTTTTAATTCTAATTTTCCTCATGACTAAATTTCCCTGCAAATCTAGCTTTTACTGACAGTATTTTATAAAAAAAAAAAAAGATTAAAATCTATTGTATTAATGGGAATGGAGGGTTCCTGAAGACTGAATGGGGGATAAGTACAGGGATGGTCCATAAGATATTCCTTACTCCCCTCCCTACTCCACCCTCTCCATACTCTCCCTTCCTTGTGGATGGAAAGGCCAGCTAAATTTGGGGATCATATAGAAGCTAAGGTGTCCCCATTTACTGGTCTTATACTGCCACTTTTTCAAATCATGTGCCCTACAGCTGAGTTTTTTGAGAATGAAGAGAATCGTTTTCTCTTTCATCCTATCCCTGACTCTACTTTTCCCCCACATTTACTGGTCTGAATGAACACCTAAACTGAAATACTTTTTGTTCAAACTGACAGTATTCTTTTTTTTTTAAAGATGTTATTTATTTATTTGACAGAGACACGGCGAGAGAGGGAACACAAGCCGGGGGGTGGGAGAGGGAGAAGCAGGCTTCCTGTGGAGCAGGGAGCCCAACGCAGGCCTCTATCCCAGGACAATGAGCACGATGTGGGACTCAGTCCTAGGACCCTGGGATCATGATCTGAACCGAAGGCAGATGCTTAATGACTGAGCCACCCAGTGCCCCCAAACCGACAGTATTCTTTTCCAACTTCTTTCTCCAGTCCAACAAGGTTTCTAGGAAATGGACTGTGGGAAATGAAGAGATTTCACTAGAAGCCAACCGGAAGAGAGAATGGTTTTCACTTTTAGTCTGAATTTCTGATTCTCTGTGCTCTGCAACTATTCTTGTATTTCTCTGATTGTAAATTTTGTTTTAATCCCAAGACCAGTCTAAGAGGTTTTCACATAACATAGTTTTTTTTTTTTTCTCCTTTTTGCTTTTACTTTTAATTTGCATCACTCAGTTAAGCATTTATTTGTTCAGAGGTAGTATGGTAAAATGGAAGAAAAATGTGTTGGATCCTCAAAGATTTCCATTCAAATTATGGATCGTCATAATTAGTGATGGGGTTAACAAACCTCTGAGTTTCAGGTTCCTTGTTTTTTAAAAGAAAATAACATCTACTTCATATATGTGTTACAAGGATTGAATCAGATTATGCATAGACCTTTATAAAGTGAAGTTTATAAAAAAATTTTGAACTTTACTCTGAAAAGATAAAGAATTTATCTTTTCCCCCGGAGGATTTCTTCTTTTTTTTTTAAAAGAAGTCCTAAAAGGTAAACGGAAGTAGGAAGGAAATGCTGAGCAGATACTAAATTTGTTATAGAGTGACTTAGAGAAGATTTATGAACAAAATAAAAACAGTAATGGAATGTCTGTTATATATTCAAAATGTACCAGGAGCTATATAAGAATAATCAAGATTAATCTTTTGAATAAAAGATTCTTTTTTTTTTTTTTTGAATAAAAGATTCTTGAAATTTGGATTTTCCTGAATCTTAGCGTTTTCTAGATCGTGGAGGAGGTCTCTATCGCTATAATTTAACAACAAATATTGCTTCTTTTTTTTTTTTTTAAGATTTTTTATTTATTTATTTGACAGAGAGAGATACAGCGAGAGGGAACACAAGCAGGGGTAGTGGGAGAGGGAGAAGCAGGCTTCCCGCGGAGCAGGGAGCCCGACGCGGGGCTCGATTCCAGGACCCCAGGATCATGACCTGAGCCGAAGGCAGATGCTTAACGACTGAGCCACCCAGGCGCCCCACAAATATTGCTTCTTTTAAATTTCTTTTTGACCACCTAGATTAACCTTTTTGACAGAATGAAGGGAAGATCAACATTGATTAAAAATTTGTATATAGCCAGTCTGTCGCTAGAGAATTACGAGGGTGGTCTAGAGATGAAAAAGTAGACTTAGGAGTACATACATAGGGGCGCCTGGGTTGCTCAGTGGTTAAGCATCTGCCTTCAGCTCAGGTCATGATCCCGGGCTTCTGGGATCGATCCGGGCTTCTGGGATTGATCCCCGCATCCGGTTCCCTGCCCGGCGGGAAGCCTGCCTCTCCCTCTCCCACTCCACCTGCTTGTGTTCCCTCTCTCGCTGTGTCTATCTCTGTCAAATAAATAAATAAAATCTTTAAAAAAAAAAAAAGGAGTACATATATACACACAGTAAATGAAAGAAGTACCTATTATGATATCAAAAATATTTAAATCATTTTCAATAATTTAAAATTAATTTTAAGAACATAAAAATGTTCAGGGGCACCTGGCTGGCTCAGTCAGAAGAGCATCTGACTCTTAATCTCGTGGTCATGAGTTTGAGCCCCATGTTGGGTGCAGAGATTACTTAAATATATAAAACTTTAAAAAAGGTATGTATAAAAGAAGAATATAAAAATGTGTGAATCCTGGAAATGATCATAAGGGCATGTACATGGCTCCTTATACTCCAAGATAATCAGTTAACACTGTGGGTAATACAAAAATCATTTCTAATTTTGGAATGCCTTATATACTTTTTCAACAGAATTTTCTTTTTAATTACAGGATTAAAAGGAACCTAAAGGGATGTGATATAGTCTAGAACCCTCATGTCAAGTAAATGAATCATTATTCTTCTGGATGTGCTCGTCCCATAAATTGTTGCAGAATGAAAACTGCCATTCCAGTATTTTAACAACCTGTGGAGCATTAAATTATTCTTTGTTTTTACTACATTTAGTTTCTTTGTTGAAATAGAGAACAATTGTGATAGGCATCTCTTTAAACATCTTTGATCTATTTGAGTACTAGCTCTTACTCCAGTTTCTTGGTACCATATCCTTTATTTTTCTCTCTCAAAATCTATTTTCCATTCTTATAAATGCTTTTGCGATCCATCTTTGTACCTCGTTAAGTTTATCTTTATTTCTCTTAAGAATTGTAAGGTGTAGTAGAAGGATTAATTTAATATTGTCGTTATTTTTACTTGCCTGTCTTCCCTTTGAGGGCAGTACACTCAAGCCCCTTGTCTGGCATGTAGAATATATTTAATAAATGTTTATTGAATGAATAAGTGTATGTTTTCATTATACTTACACATATTGATAGCATGCTAGTTTTCATTTTTTTGTCTGGTAAGTCAAGAAATTTAATCCTGATAGAAGAAACTGAGGCTTAAATTTATTTAGTAACTTTCCCATGGTCACAGAGACAGCAGTTTTTGGTGTAGGGATTCCAAATGGAGAACTACTGCTAAATTACAAAGCATTTCCCCACTTTGTTTCTCATGGCCAAACTCTTCAAAGCTCCAAATGCAGGGCGCCTGGGTGGCTCAGTGGGTTGGGCCTCTGCCCTCTGCTCGGGTCATGATCTCGGGGTCCTGGGATGGAGCCCCGCATCAATCCCTGCTCAGCGGGGAGCCTGCTTCTCCCTCTCCCTCTGTAGCTCCCCCTGCTTGTGTTCTCTCACTCTCTCTCAAATAAATGAAATCTTAAAAAAAAAAAAGCTCCAAATGCAATTTGAACAGTTTAACAGCATGATTTTTCTTCATGAAGTGTGTGTGTGTGTGTGTGTGTGTGTGTGTGTTTAAAGCCTTCTTTCCCTCACTTTGTGGCACTGTAACTGCTTTCTGGTTCCAATCTTAATCTTTGTCTCAGTCTCCACAGTGGGGCCAGAACCTGCTCTCTAAAGGGCAAATGTGATCATGTTACTTCCTAATTTAAACCCTTCAATGGTCACCACTGTCTGCTAGATTAAGTTCAAACTCCTTGGTATACTAAACAAGGCATTCAAATATCTGTCCCCTTTAACTTCTAGTCTTATCACTCATCATACCCTCCCTTGCACTCACTTAGCTGGTGGTATCAAACTTCTTACAGTTCCCCAAACACAAGAATCTGTTTCATTGATCCCTCAGCCTGCAATTCCTTCCCTTACCCCACCCAAGACTCTGTGCCTCTTTTACTACCAAGTGTCTCTTGACCATGCCCTCAGTAGAACTGATCACTCCTTTTTGTGTTTGCCCACACCTTTACAGGCTTCTATCCTAATGTCTGTATCGTGTTATTGCACTTATTTACAAGTCCCACTTATTTACTTATTGTCCTTCATTTACTTATTTACACTTATTTATAAGTTCCATTTATTTATGTACTTATTTACTGTCCCACCCCATGCCCAACTAGGTGTCTTTATACCCCAAAGTACTCACATAGTGCTTGGCACATAGTGGTGCTTTATAAATGTTCAATAAATGAATGGAATGGAAATACGGCTGATGAAGAGGGAGAAGAAAAGGAAAGCTAAAGAGAAAGCCCTTTAAAGGGAGAATATTATTGTTATGGACATGCAAATGATGAGTTGTAAAGGAGGTCAAAAAGATGTAATAGGGAGGACCTCAGCTGAACATGCCCTTAACAAGCTCGTTCGGAGGCAAGATATGCATACTCAACAGCATTACGAGGTAATTAAGTATCTGGATGAAAATGGCTCACACAGTATTACAGAAACTTAGAGGCTGGGGAAGTCCCTGATGAGGAGGATGGAACTGAAAACTGGCCTAATCAAATGCCTTCCAAGTGCAAGGCGTTTTTCGTGCGTTAAGCAATTTAATCTTTCAACCACCCTATGATGAGGATATTATCTCCGTTTTAGAGATGAAGAAACATGCTCAGAGAATTTAGGTTGCTCAACGTCACAAACTACCATGTGGAAGAACCATAATTTGAATTTGGGTGAGCTGTCTCCAACGCCCCGTTCATTTCGCCACACCCCTCCTCTGCAGTGCGTAGTCACGGGGAGTTACCCGCTCCAAGTTCCTTGGGCGTTCCCCTCCGACCCCCCGCGCGCCCAGTTCTCTCGCGCTCACTGCGCCTGCGCGTCCGGCAGCTACCCGCACTCCGGGGTGGGGCCTGGCGGCGGAGGCGGTGTCAGGGCCCCGGGCGGGGTAGTCGGCTAGCCGGCGAAGGCCGTTGGGCGGGGCGAGGCGAAGAGGGAGAGAGGGAGGAGAAGAGGGAGGGAGCGGAGGGAGGAGAGGAGGGAGGGAGGGAGAAGAGGAAGGAGGGGCGGGCTCGAGGCCGCGGCGGAGGAGGAACTTGTTGCGGCCGCGGCTGCGCTGTGCGGCTCCCTAAGCTCCAGTTCGCCGGGCGGGCGCGGTGCAGCGGTGGTGGCGGCGGCGGCGGCTGGGGCGCGGGGCCGGGGCGATGCGGCGTTATCTGCGCATCGTGGTGCTGTGCCTGGCCTGCGGCTTCTGCTCGCTCCTCTACGCCTTCAGCCAGCTCGCCGTGTCCTTGGAGGAAGGGGCGGGCGGCGGTGGCGGGAAGCCGCAGGCCGCGGCGGCTTCCTGGCTCGCGGGCGGCGGACGCGGCGGCGCAAGAGGGGTGGGCAGCGTGGGCTCCGCAGCGCATCCCGGCCCGTCAGACAGGTACGGGCCGTTCCCTGTCAGGGCACCGGGGCCGGGGCGAGGGGCGCGGCGGTCGCGGGGGCGCGGGGCTCGGCCTGGGCTGGGCTGCTCGCCGGTCCGCCCCGCGCCTCCCGCCGCCGGGCCCGCGCCTCCCGCTTCTTTGCGCGGTCTCTGACCCCTTCTCTCATTTCCCTCCTTCCCCCTCCATCCGCGCGTGAGCCTAGCCGGAGAGCACCCCATGCTCTTTGTGTTTGTCTTCTGACGCATTCCTTATGCGCCCTTAAAAGCGGATAGAAATTAATTTTCAACTTTTAATTGAGTTTGTTTTTTTTCCTGACAGAATTCATTGAAAGTAAAAGGTGCCCCACAAAAGCTTTCTTGCTGTCTGGCTGGTGGGAATTCCCTCTTGTTTCCATGGAGTTCAAGTTGAGATATTTAAACATCAGGCTGGCGCCCTAGTTCAATTTTTTTCCCTCTCCTGAATGGGGCATCTAATTTTTGTGTGTTAACGCTTAAATTTTCGTTATTAGTCTGTTAAATCTGGACAGAGCTTTTATGCGTATTTTGAATTTTTCCTTTAGGAAACATCGGTCTGTTCTGAAAGTTATAGCAAGTTAAGAAAAGTGAGCGATACTTAACATGCTCACGTGTTTTGTGGGATGGGATATCTTTCTTAAAATTCGGTGTTTAAAAAGTAACATAATGACTTAACGTGGATTTACACAAATCACTGCCAGAGTTGGAATCTACGTGAGATTTTAAAAAGAATGCGGCGCATTATGAATGCTTAACAAAATCAGAGCCTTTCCACTTCCTTGAAAAATAAGCTCCTTTATTTGTGGGCACCTCCCTGGGAATGACTCGGAGTGCTCCCTTAGTAAGAGGCAAAGTCGGCTTTGGTATCAGTAAGTACGGGGTTGGTAAGAGGAGGGAGGGCGGGTCACCTGCAGGCTCTTTAACATTCTGAGAGTTGATGGTCGTTTTCACAGTGAAAGGGGGAGGACGTTTGGGCATAGGAGCAGCATGGGAAAGCTGGACTGTCATGTTTTTACCCCCGGATTTGATTACAGTCAGGCGAATCCTTGACTGTATTCGTAAAAGCAGAACCACTTCCAGTCAGGTTAGTCAACTCTTCTGTGCCCTGGGAGAGGCGGTGACTGAAGACCTGAATGAGCTCTTGAATAATGAGGCTCAAGAAAAGCTGTGATTGTGAAGCATTTAAAATTATGGAGAAGAAAATTATTTTTGTAGTGGGTAGAATCGGAAGGAAGCAACATTTTAAAACATTGGATGAAATTGGACTATGATTAGTATTAGATTTCAGTTTCGTAGCGTGACATTCATTTTTAGTGCTTTGTCTCAGATACTTATACTTTATTTTGTGACAGATTTTTGTAAATTGTATTTGCTTGGCTAGCTGATTTGAACAAAATTATTTAGAATAAGCACCTCAGTATCTTTTAAGATTTTTTTTTTTTTTTAAGTAATCTCTGTGTCCAACGTGGGGCTGGAACTCACAACCCCAAAATCAAGAGTCGTGTGTCTGCTGACTGAGCCAGCCAGATGCTCCAGCACTTCATTTTAATAAATGTTTTATAGAGCTATTACTGAAATTTTAAGTTTGATGTGTCCAGGTCAACTAAAAAGCTGTATATTTACAGGTCCTCTGAGCAGCATAACTTCTCATTTTAAATGAGGCATAACTCTAACTTTAAACCCTAAGTGTTTTAGTCTTGGTAAAAATGTGAAGTACAATTCACCGCATGTGCTTGTATAATAACTTTGGGCAGAGCAACAACGTGAAAAAGTTAGTTGTTACATTTTTACTCTACAGTTTGATAAGATCAGGAGAATTCTTAAGATATCAGGAGTCTTTTTTTTTTTTTTTTAAAGATTTTATTTATTTATTTGAGAAAGAGAGAGAGCACATGAGAGGGAGGAGGGTCAGAGGGAGACGCAGACTCCCCGCCGAGCAGGGAGCCCGATGCGGGACTCGATCCCGGGACTCCAGGATCATGACCTGAGCCGAAGGCAGCCGCCCAACCAACTGAGCCACCCAGGCGCCCAAGATATCAGGAGTCTTAATTTTAGATATTACTTAAAGCATTTTTAAAGATTTCTCATAGAGTTTGGTCAACTTTTTTGGCTACCACAGGATATGGAGTAGATACCTATCTTTAACCTCTCTTCCTATGTATAAATCATTTGACCAGGGTCCAGAAGGCATCAGTAATTGGACCAGGATTGTATCTTTTGATTCTTTAGGGCTCTTTCTGTGAAGCTTCTTTGATGAGAATCTAGTCTACATAGTGTTTCATCAGTGGAAAAAGGTGTATAAGGCAAGCAACATCTTCCTTTTTTTGGTAGGACTAGATTATCATTGCATTCTTTTTTGAAGCAGTCTTACCTGAAAAACTTTAACTATTATTTCTCTCATTCATTTAAAATATGGAATCTAGGTTATACCCAGTATGTTTTATTGTCAAATCTTATAGAAAGTGTTTGTTGCATGGAATTCCATGACAATAAATTACTTGGAAAGATCCTTCCGAGTTCTCAAAACTTCTAAAATGATAGGAACAATTTTTCAGTGAAATCTATTAATTAGTGTATCTTGTTTGAATCCATTATATTTTGGTATTTAGAAAATGCACAGGTGTTAGAGTCAGACAAACCTGTTCTCTTCCTGTCTCTGCTGTGAAACCTTGACCACCTCTCTACTTCAGTTTTCTCACCTGTAAAATGTAGGTAATACTTAACCTTAGTTAATTTGTAAATAGAATCCTTAGTTGTCAGTGATTAAAATCCATTACAGCTAACTTAAGCAAAACATATTTATAGGCTTATATGGGTTGCTGGCAGGAGCAAAATTGAAAGGAAAATTCCCCGGGCAGCTCCAGGGACCCTAAGGACTAGGACTCTCTTACTCTCTTCCACTGTAGACAGGCTTTATTCTTGGGATCTTTGCAGTGTTTCTTCTCTTGTCTCAAAAATTTCTAGGAAAAGGCTCTCATTGGACTTGTTTGCATCACATGTCCATCAGTGTTGTCAAGAATGGTGACCTCTGATTTTGTGGCTCTGTGTTACTTGCACATCCTTGTGGTGGACAGGATAACATGATTGGACAGAATAACATAACATGATTAGATGAGTGGTGTCTTAAAGAGGGGAATGCTGGCTAGGCAGATGGCTCTTCCACATAGAGAAACTCCCAAGCTGCTCGAGGTGGACAGACTGTTACTAAGTTATTCAGTATAAATACAGGACTTCTGTAGAAGGAGTTAGACTATTTTGTGACTTCAGCTACTCAGAATGAATTCTCACATTTCACTAATGAATCTTGATGGTGATTATCAAGATTTTGTCCTGTTGTAGCTGTATGGTGGTGTGAAGTGGGGAATCAAGAAACTACTAAGCTTTTGAGTGATAACCATTTCTGGACCCACCATGCTGTTTGTTGTGTCAAGTCACCTCACTGGTGAGGCCATTGAGTTCTCATTTCTCCTGGATCTTGTGAACACTAGTAGGATGTACTGAGCATCTTTAGGGCTTTGGAGACACAGACTTCAGCTTTAACATATGTTTGGCTGTGTGAACCTTGAATACATTTCCTCAAAAGTTAGATTACAGGTAAGAGTATGATATTGGGTTGTGTGTGAGAATTGAAATGAAGTAGCTTGAATGATGACTGAATACGGTGTCTAGCACAGTAAAACTGTAGCTAATACGGTGATGGTTTCAATCATTTAAATTAAAAAAATTTTTAAGATTTACTTATTTAGGGTACCTGGGTGGCTCAGTCAGTTAAGCATATATACCTTCAGTTCAGGTAGTGATCCCAGGGCCCTGGGATTGAGCCCTGCGTTGGGCTCCTCACTCAGCAGGCAATCGGGGAGTCTGCTCGAGGATTCTCTCTCCCTCTGCCCCTCCCCCTGTTTGTGCTTCTCTCTCAAAAAATCTTAAAAAAAATGATTTATTTATTTGGGAGAGAGAGTGAGCATACAATTGGGGGAAAGGGCAGAGAGAATACCCAAGCAGACTCCCCTCTTGTGCAGATCCAGGGACGCAGGGCTCGATCTCATTGAGATCAGGACCCAAGCTGAATCCTAGAGTCTGGTGCTTAACTCACTGAGCCATCCAGGGGCCCCTCAGTCATTTAAATTTTAATTAAAAAAAAAAAAAAATTTTTTTTTTTCCCAATTTCTGCCCTCTGGGAAAAATCCTGTCCTTAGTCCCCCAGTCCGCACCTGCTTAAACCAGGTGCCTATTAGTGGGGTCTGGGAATCTATATTTTAGATATGTGCCCCAGGTTATTGTTACACAACCAAAGATTGAGAACCACTAATGTAGCTGAGAAAGGTTTGACCACTATTTTCACACTACTGTTTTTAGTAGAGAAATTTCTTTCCCTCTTTCCTGAAGTCATTTTTGGAGAAGTTCAGGCAGTGAATAATGAAACAAATTACTTACTAAAGCCACCTTCATTTCTGCTTTGTTTATGCAAAGACATCTTATGTAAAATCAATACCCTGCACTTGTATTTTAGTTCATTGAGGATCATACTTCACATGGTTGTAAAGTGCTTAGCACAAATCTGACTAGTAATTACTTAATTAAAATTATTTTGTTCTATGTTGTTGGAGGGGAAACTGATTAGGCTAATAAAAAAGGAATGTGTACTTTTGATTTGGAAATCCTCTTTTATTTATTTTTTTAAAGATTTTATTTATTTATTTGACAGAGAGAGACACAGCGAGAGAGAGAGAACACAAGCAGGGGCAGAGGGAGAGGGAGAAGCAGGCTTCCCGCAGAGCAGGGAGCCTGATGCGGGGCTGGATCCCAGAACCCTGGGATCATGACCTGAGCTGAAGGCAGACGCTTAACCGACTGAGCCACCCAGGCGCCCCTTAGAAATCCTCTTTTAACACATTAAAGTTATTATCTGTGCCATACCTGTTGAAAATACTTGCCCCCACGTATTAACTTACCTGTGTGTATACCATATGAAATTTAAACTTTTAATGTATTCACATTGGCAGTTTTTTCCTTTACCATTTTTATCTTTGTCATGCATAGGAAAACTTTCTACCGGAGGGTTCCTCCCCCCACACACTTTTTTTAACATTTAAATCTTTAATACAGTTTCTTTTTTTCTTTTTCCTGGAGGAGGGAGTTGGGTACGATGTGATGCTTAGTTTTGAAAGAGATAATTGTTCGTTGCCTTTTGTATATAAGCAGTCGTTTTTGCCCTAAGTATTAATGAAATTAGAGGTTTAAGAATAAGAAATGAAGACCTGGCAGAGCTAGAAATTAAGTTCTCTGGAGACAGTTTTTAGTTGAAAATAAATGACCCAGGTACTGATCTTCAAGTAAGGCTGATTTGTCAGTATCATGGGAATGGTCTCCTTTAATGTGGTTGAGAGCGTCTCTGTTTTTCTTGCCATAGTCACAGTGTAGGTATCTGTGCCTTGAGGTTGCACGGTGGCTCACAGCACTTCATTCAGACTTCCACATTCTTTTGCGGGATATGCCTAAACTTATCCCTGACTATAAGTTGTGCATGGTTTTCACTAAAGCCTCATGACTGTGGTAGATGTTTTGAGATGAAAAGTACATTTTCCAGGTTAATTTAAAAGTACAAAAGACTTTCTGTTACCAGATTTAAGTAAACTTCAAGTTTGAGAACTGTTATTGTGGAGAGTTTATATAGTTAAATGCTCTGCTTAATCCCGAGCATGAAGTATCTCAGTTCTTCAAGTACTGAAATTTTGGGGAATTTTGTTTCTGATAATTTTTTTAACTTTTAAAATAAATATAAATTCACAGGAAGTTTCATAGACACCCTTGTATCATTCACTGTTTCCTCCAATAGTAGGATTTTATATGAGCATAGTGCAATATTGGAATATATATCAATACAACTGGAATATATATCAATATAGTGCAATATTAAAACCCCAGAAATTGACATTGTACAGCACATAGACTGTATTCAGATATCCCAGTTTTACATGCTTTCGTATGTGTCATGCAGTTTTATCACATACGTAAATTCGTGCAACCACCTCCACAAACACAACTGTGTTATCACCATAAGATCCCTTGTGCTACCCCTGATCACTTTGTGGACAAGCCACCTAGAACTAGAAACATGCCATATGAAATTTGAGGATGAGTCATAGTAAAGTTTTATTTCAATTTATTCCACAGTGAAGAAGATTTGCATTTATGGACTTCATTGATTTTTGGATGTCACTGTTTACTGAAGACATACCCACTAAGCTCAACTTACAGTTTTGCCCCATTAAAATTATTTGATAGAATTACCTCTTTGATGTAGTAGTATATTTCTAATATTTCATTTCCAATAGTTTTTTTTTTTTTTTTAAAGATTTTATTTATTT